CTATGACTAACCATTCCATTCAGTGCAGTTTTCCATTACAACCGGTTCCTAATGATTTCACGTGATTTCAAATTGATTTCATTCGTTGAAATCACTTTTTTCCCCCCTTGGATCGAAGACAAATCTTTACTATAAATTATTGGTATGGCATGCTTGGAATTCTATGTTCACCATTCTTAGCTAACTATATTCGACTAGTTCGAGTGCCTCAAATATTTGTATTTCTTTATTGCTTGCAGATTTTTGGCTTAAATTCATGTGCTTGCGAATGGGTCTGCTGTGAATGTGGTTGAACGCTAAGAGTGAGCCTTTAGGATGGTTATGTATTTGTTTGTCGGTCAGTATGTGTATGTGCGTCGGTTTAAGTGATTGTTGTGACAGAAGCGAAAATGGATAAAGTGTGGAATCCATTAAAGTTTTTTTGAGTGGTTGTACCGTGCCAGTTTGATTTTTAGTACTAAATATTCTGGTCAATAGGCAGGCTTGATGTAACAATAAATAAAAGAAGATAGGATGACAGACTAGAGGAGTAGCACACCGTCACCCTCGGTAATGATGTTTATTCGCTACTTTACATCTCCAGAATGTGTCTACTTCATACAGTACACACGCTTATATATGATAGAGAAACAAAGAGAGAGAGAGAGAGAGAGAGACGACACAGGAAGAACAATAGAGAGAAGAAGAGCAGTAAGCCGTGACGTATGTATCGGCACACTTAAGTTACGAGCAATGAAAAAATCGCACTGTGGCACTTCTTGTTCTTTTCTTATCCAGCGACAAAAGTAGTATATTGCATGTTTGAATCGACCCATAAGAGATTTGGAGAACCCATCGATTCATTGACGTAATACTAACAACAGTCGTTGTACTTTTTCAGATTTCATGTGCTTATTTTGAGAGTAAACGCACAATTCTATCAAAAAATGTGGACTAGGCACACACACTAAGTAACATTGAGTAATATCTAACTATGTTTCCAGTGTTTTCTCTTCTTTGACGATACGATTCCTTGGCAATGCACAGGTTCCACATATTTTGCTTTGAAATAGTTATTCAACACAGCTGAAAAGGCATCTAAATCCAGAAAACATTCCTATTACAGACTAAAAGGCACAGTGTGTTTAAGGTATTCATTTCTGATATTAAAATTTTCATTTCAGATTTATTAATATTTAAATATTAGAGCAGTTTCCGGTGCTAGTATGTGATGAAACATTGGCAACATCTCTGTAAATTCATTGCATATCCCCCAAGAATGCCGTTTCATAAATTGGAAAAGTGTGTTACCAAATTATTACAACTTAGCTTTCGAAGACAATTCAAATTTGTCAATAGGAAACTACTAGGTTCATATATATTACGATCATTGGCAACCAGGAACTCGTTACAATCCACTGAAATAGGCAACTGTTAGTGCTTCGTAATGTTTTCCAAAACAGAACGAAAATTAAAGCGATTAGGGGGTAGGTGTTTCTTTTAACCTCAATGTACCTACACCGAGATCAACTCTGCATATCTCTTTGGCGCTTTTGAATTCGATATTGAATTTTTGTACTCGATGATTTCCATAATCGGCGACATAGAGATTACCGTGTCGATCGAATGACAAACCGAAGGGCCAATTGAGTTGGTTGGATTGTCCTCCTTCACCGTTTCCACCAACAATGACACTTCCTTGTGTGACTCCTTTGGGCCAACGCATGATTCGATCATTCCATCGATCAGCCACATAGGCAGTGCCCAATTGATTGACAACGACTCCTTGAGGACAAGACAATTGTGTAAGACCATTTCCATATCCTTGACCACCAGCCACGGCAATGCCTGGTTTTGCACCTTCCACCCATTTCATCACACTATGATTCCCATAATCAGATACATAAACTGAATGATCTCGATCGATGAATATGTATTCTGGGCGAGAGAGTTGATCGAGACGATTTTCCAAGGGGAGCAAAGCGGCTCCTAATGTATTCTAGGATCCATCAGGATCCAAAAGGAGCCGCCAGGACCCAAGAAGAGCCACCAGGATCCATAGAATCCGCCACGATCCATTAGAATCCATCAAGGATGCTATGTTTCAAAGGATTTTGTCACGATTTATGCGCAAAGATTATTAGTCAGAATCGTTTGACAATTATCTAAGGTATTTGCCAGACTCAATACTCAGAATTTACGAATTTACGCTTCAACTTGAAAACCTGTAGTTAATCTTATGCATACTTGTCTACA